GCGGCCCCGCACCAGCTGCTCCGCTCCGAAGCCCGAGGCCAGCGCGGCGCCGGTGACGAGCTCCTGGCAGAAGTAGAGGCTGCGACTCCACCCCATGGGCAAGACAATCAGCCGAGGGCTGAAGCGGCCTCGCACGAGCCAGGCGGGATCGATCAGCTTCGCCAAGTCGGGGCGAGCCTTCTCGAACGCACTGAACTACATGGCAGGCAGCAGAACATGTTGATCCAGTCCAGGAGGTAGATCGATGCGATAGAAGGCGCTGTCGACGTCGAGCTGCGCCGCGTGCAGAAGGCCCCCCTCGGGCGTCTCTATAGACTCTGCCAGCTGCCCGGGGTGGCCAGCACGGCGCGGCGCGGGCCTACGAAACGGAAATTGACCAACCTTGTGGCGATGATCGGCCGCAGCTGCCTGGACGCCTTCCGCGCAACAAAAAATTATCCCGGCAAAGCAACCTAACAGCGATGTGTAGGAGCATATCTGGAAGCATTCCCCTTAAGATTCAGATGAGAATCCAGTTGTAGAATTCTGCTGTTCTCGCAGTCGTAGTCGCATTCGCGATGACAGTCGCAGTGGCAACGGCAGTCGCAGTCACAGCCTCAGCCTCAGCCTGCCTCAGCCTCAGCCTCAGCCTGCCTCAGCCTCAGCCTGCCTCAGCCTCAGCCTCAGCCTGCTTCAGCCTCAGCCTCAGTCTGCCTTCAGCCTCGGCCTCAGCCTCAGCCTCAGCCTGCCTCAGCCTCAGCCTGCATCAGCCTCAGCCTCAGCCTCAGCCTGCCTCAGCATCAGCCTGCCTCAGCCTCAGCCTCAGCCTGCCTCTGCCTCAGCCTCAGCCTGCTTCAGCCTCAGCCTCAGTCTGCCGTCGGCCTCGGCCTCAGCCTCAGCCTGCCTCAGCCTCAGCCTGCATCAGCCTCAGCCTCAGCACGAAGCGACCCAGCTAGAAGGACAAAGCGCTGAATGTACACCGATGTGTTCGACGACTGCGTATGTAATGATGTGACGATATACAGACTGAGCCCTTCGTGAATGTCTACATGTTTTTCTGACGCCTACAAACGGCGCTGACGTGTGTGAGAAAATTGTCCGCGCAGCAAAAGCCGGCGAAGCGTGCGGGAGCTCGCATGCTGAGACAGACTACGTCTGCAGACCGCCAGCTGCAAAAGGTTGCGAGCGGTTCTTGGAAGATGTTTACGGAACGGAGCTACGGTGTCTGAAAACATTGGCATCGAAGCGAAGAGCCTCGGAGCCCTGCAGCCTGAGAAACACCGCAGGAACTCGCATACTGAAAAGGAATGCATTGCAAACCGCACGTTGGGAACCCTGCAGGCTGAGAAGCACCGCAGGATGTCGCATGCTGAAAAGCACTTGTACTGCAGAGCGCAAGCTGCGAAACCTGCAGGCTGAGAAGCACCGCAGGAACTCGCATGCTTTCGAACACTACTGCTCGAGACCGCAGCTGGAGAGCGGCAGACCGCAGGCTGAGAAGCACCGCGGGCAGGGAGACTTGCAAAACTCAGATGTCCTGATCGTCTTGGAGGAAGTCACGCCAGTCCGGCGGCTGCCAAGAATCGATGATGCTCCTGGAGCCACCGCCCGTGCTGCCGCCGATGTCCAGGTAGTCGCCATCGGCCCTGAACAGACGGCCGTGCCCCAACGCCAGAATCGCTTGGTTGCGGATTTGAAGCAGCGCTCCGCTCTCAAACATCTGCAACACGTCCAGCTGCCTGCGCGTGAAGTTCGGCTTTGGCTGGCCAGCCTGGGCAGACAGATGGCGGGAAAGCCGCTCCCCCTCGTTGTAGCGCGCGATGGCCTCGGCCTTCTGGTGGTGCAGCCGGCGCCGCTGTTGCCGCAGAGCTTCCTCGGGAACTGCTGCATCACGGCCCTCACTGTGATCAGCTTGCAACGCTTGCGTTAGCCAATCAACGTCGAAGCGCCCTGAGAAGGCCAGCACCTCCCAGATCTGTTTGGTACCGGCCACACGTTGCAAATGGCGATGCCACCGCTTACGCTTCTGGTCTTTCACAAACTTGGCGACGCTACCCAGACCTGCACCCTTGGCCTGGCCACCTTTTCCCGCAGGCTGAGAAGCACCGTGAGAACCTTTCTTACCGCCTGGCCCTTTGTTAGGACCCTGCGGAACCGCATGGCCCCCTTGTGGCGCAGACTTGCCTCTCGCTTTTCCCTTTTCGATATCCCGTTCCTGAAGCGCACGCTGCTGCCGCGACTGCTCGTACTGGTCGCGAGCTACTCTGACCAATTCCTGGCGCTCAGGCTCCGTGAGAACGTAGCGCATGTCGTCGATGTTCTTGCTCCGCAGAAAGTCATGTCGAAGCTTAAGGACAGAGAGAATGGCTCGGCCAGTCTCCTCCTGAGACGCAAAGGCCGTGTCATATTCCGAGCCAGGCTGAGGAGCGCCAGCTGGATCAGTGTCCGCTGGCTCCGTGGACTTCCTCTTTTTGAAAAGCAAGAGACTGAGATGATGGAGGACTTTCGGATCGTACTCCTCGTCGTACCTGTCGTCCCAAAGCTGCCTCAGCTCCCTGTGCAAGTCGTTCGCGCGATTCTGAACGACATCCTCGACGTAGTCGGGATCACCCGGTGAAGTCGGTGAAAGCGGAGGAGTAGAACTCGGCGACCGATCCCAATGCACAGAAGACTCGGCGTCCGCCTGTACGCTGACGTCGGCGTCGGAGACGTTTTCGACGACAATCTTCCGCCTCTTGCTCTCCCCAGGCTGAATAGCACCAGGGAGAGTGAGCACAACCGCCACCGCATCGTGTGCGTCGTTGCGCATGCCACGATCCGTAAAAGACGCGCCAACGGCAATGGAGCAGAAACGGGCGACTGCTCCGCAGACCGCGACGTGGTCGCCTTTGAGGTCGGCCGGAGTGGCATGGACCTCCCAGAGCTTCTCGTCGTTCTGCTGGCGCTGGTAAGCCTCCCGCGCCTCCTGGAAAGTGAGGTTGTCGTCGCCGACTACAAGCAGAACGACTGCCTGGCTCAGATTCTCAAGAATCTTTCCCAGGCAGTCCAGGTGCAAGCGGAGATTGCGAACTGTCCGCTTTCGAGTCTGGATGGTCGGCGGTTTCTTGCCGCACACGATGTGCATGTTGGCGATCACCACGTGGAACTTGTCATGGCCTGGTTTGTTCACCTCAAAATGTGAAATAACAGCATCAATCTCTCGGCCGCTAGGAGGCCTGTAAACTTTGCTGTCTTCGCACAGAGTCAGTTCCGCAGGCTGAGAAGCACCGCGGAACCCCCAGAGAGTCAAGTAGTTGTCGACCTCCGAGAAGCGAATGCCATCACCGAAAGGCTTACTGAGGATCTCTGTCACGTTGATCCCTGCTCGGCGAAAGCCTTCACGGAACGCACCGACCTCGCAGCCACAGACAATATCAGCATCAGCGGTCTCCACTATCGTGGCGCACACCCTTCCGAAGTTAGCGCAGTGAGTGGCCGCCTGCTTACCAGTCATCATGCCCTGCTCGAACCCGAAATTGAACGAGGCGACCGTGAAAGACGCAGGCTGCACAGCGCCAGAACCAGGCGTCTGTCCACCTTCCTCCGCAGGCTGAGAAGCACCGCGAGGCGGCGCAGGCTGAGAAGCACCGCGAGGCGGCGACACTTCGGACGAGCCTCGCGGAGCAGAGGCTGCGGATGAACGTTGGGTATGGGGGTACGGCCAGGGGAACGCCATTGCAATCGAAACTGAGTGGACTGCAGTGAGTGAATGCAGTGGCACGATTGAATGCAGTGGACTGCAGTGTCACTAGCAATTCCTGAACCAAACACGGCTGTGGCGGAAGGACTACGAAGCGTCTGGCTATTCAAAATGTGGCCCGGGAATGTAGTTCTGGGAACTCGAAGACCAGGAAGTGGCCTACAGTTGGCTCCGGGCATCCAAAATGTGGCCCGGGAATGGAATTCTGGGAACTCGAAGAGCACGAAGTGTGTGACTGTTGCATCCGGCCCTCCAGAATGTGGCCCGGGAATGGCGTTCTGGGATGTCGAAGAGCACGAAGTGTGTGACTGTTGCATCCGGTTATTCTAAATGTGGCCCGGGAATGGCGTTCTGGGATCTCGAAGAGCACGAAGTGTGTGACTGTTGCATCCGGGTATTCAGAATGTGGCCTGGGAATGGAGTTCTGGGAAGTCGAAGAGCACGAAGTGTGTGACTGTTTGTGAAAAACGAGCCCGGCACCCTGCCGCCCGGCAACTCCCCAACACCTGCCCGGACCCCCCTGTGGAGTGATCTGTGAGCTCTTTTGACCCTACTAGAAACCTATCAGTCTTCGCTGTTAGGTAAAAACACCGACTGCGCGCGGGCCCTTTGGCCCGCAAGCCGCCGCGCCAGCGCCCGCCAGGTCTCCACGAACTTCACGTAGGCAACTGGGTCCGAGACCTGCGCGGGGTCTGTGCACGGGCGGATGCTCGGAGCGTCCCCGAGGTCCTCTAATCGCAACTATCGCTGGCGCCAATCTACCCGCAACTCCCAGGATTCGCCCGTCAGCCACTCCGCCGGCTGGCAGTGTGGACCGGGCGCCGGCAGGGCGACATTGCCCTCCTAGGTGGCGCGCTGCTCCGGCTCCTGCATGTAGCCGGGGCGGGTGCCGCACAGCGCAGTGAAGGCTGCTGCGGCCGAACCGGCGGGGGGACCGGCTCGTTGAATTACTTCGCGAAGATGCTCCGACGATGCAAGCTGCGCTGAAGATGGCCGAGCAGAAACCCCGGATCTCCCAGCTCCGCACAGCGAATTAAGAGTGCCGGCGACGTCACCGACGAGCGTGTGCACGTGACCTCGGCGCCGCAGGCGAGAGCGGACGGAGCGGGGCGAGCCGCCGAGCACCGCAGCGGGAGTGGCTTCGCGAGGTGCCGCCAGAGGCAGCAGCTCTCGCAAGACCGGGGGGCCGCTCATGGCTACTCGGCCGCCGCGGGCCCCCCGCCCTTGACGGCCTGGAGGCGGCGGATCTCCCCCGCCTGCCGCGCCGCCTTCTTCTCGAGCTCGGTCGTGCCAGCAGCCCCGGCCGCGCCGCCGCCGCCGCTCCCGCCCGGCGGGCGAGCTGCCATGCGCTCCTCGCGCACCTTCCTCCTCTCCTGGGCGGTGGCGTACTTCCGGTGCAACTCCTGACTGATGTGGTCCTGGAGACCCGGGGCCACCATGATGAGGCCCCGGGTCTCGCCAATGCCGAGGTACAAGAACTCGTCCTCCAGCAGGTCGTCGGAGCCAGCGCGCGACGTCAAGCGCTCACGGTGCCGCCATTCAGCGAGTTGAGCCTTCCTCATCAAGAGCTTGACGCACGCCAGCTCGGTGGTTTTCAACTGATCGAAGCATACCGATATTTCCAGGAACCTCATGGCCAACTCGTGGTCGCCGACGCCGATGTCCGAGGCGCCGAGACCACACTCGTGGCGCCACTTAGTGTGGCGGCTCCGAGGATGCTGATCTTGCTCGGCGATGAACTGGATGCACCAGGCCGTGGTGCGAGGGCCGCGGATCGGCCAGCCATCCCAGTGGCTCTCCGTGCGCAGCTTGGCGCTCTCCCTGAAGTTGTGGCGCCGCTCGCTGTCGGCCGCGGTCTCCGCCGACAGGACGCGCGCGTCGAAGTCGGCGTTGGCCTCTGCGGCGGTGCCCTCCTTGAGCAGCAACACCTCATCGCCCTGCTGCGCCACCGCGAAGCCCGCGATGGTGGCGTACTCGTCCACCGCGGCGTTGCCGATGGTGTGCACGCTGGTATTGCCCGAGGAGCCTTTCACAATCCACACATTCGGCGCCACGTCTGGCAGGTGCTCGTGGCCCACGTCGATGTTACCAGTCTGAGTCGCTCCAGACGCTATCGGCTGCTTGCCTGCTAGCCGACGCCTCGCTCCTGGCCGGACGCCGTATGAGCGGTTGCCCCCGTCGGGGCTGAGCTGAAGGCTGACCCCGACCACCTCCAGGGCGGCGAAGAGCTCCATCGGCGATGGCTGCCAGTCGTGGCCGTGCACCTTCTCGATCTTCCGAAGCACTGTCCCCGCTGCGCTCTCCTGAATGATGTGGTTGTCGTCGTCGAGCGCCGCCATTCCGGAGGGCCCAGGGACCGTCAATGCGTGTGGGTACACGTCGCCGTCCGGGGTCATCGCGAACCACAGCAACCCTGCCTTGCCGGCCCCAGCTGGGGGCTCCGTCTCCATCACGCTCTTGAAGTCGCTCTCGGAGCATGGCGTGAGCAAGATCCGAAGCTGCCAGTCCGTGCCCTTCATCCACTGCACGGCGACCCGCCGGCCGGGGCATAGGACAGCCGCAGGCGGCATAGATGCACGTGCCAGTCACCCCGAGCAACACCCCGAAGATGAACAGCAGCCCAGCACCCGTCCAGAAGCTGCCCAGGACCTGGCGGGCCAGCAGGCAAGTGCTGGCTGCGTCTAAATCCACAAGCATACTAAGTGTGTGGAAGGAGGAGCGGAGCGTGCTAGCGGCCACGCCCGCAAGGGCCAGGAAACCCATCGGCTGCCAACTTGAACCAAAAATGGCCTGCGGACGGCCACGGTTCAGACGGCAATCAAAGTTGTTCCACACTAGTGTATATACACATATATATATATATATATATATATATGTATACATGTGTGTATATATATTTATGTATGTATATCCTCCCCCGCATGACGCCTGCATCCGCGTCAACGGAGTGGGCAGGCCAGGCCGGCCCTGCGTCGCCCAGGTGCCCGGCGGGCCGCCTGAACCAATGGGGGAGGCGTGCGCAGCGGTGCGCGGCAACTCGCAAACGCCAGGTCGTGCCCTCGACCCTCGAGGAGGGAATCTCCTGGACGTTTCTGGAAGGTTTCGTGCACACTTCTGGGGGCAAATGGCATTCGGCTGCGGCAAGCCCGTGACGTGACTGCGTCGGCACTGGCTCCCGGCCCCGCGTGGGTCGTTCAGCCTGAAAGAATCGCGGCTTTCTGATGGCGCGGATCGCTCGACGTCGGCTGGTTCGGGGCCACCGGCGGCGTCCAGCCTTGAACGCTCGCGCGGGGGGGGGGACCGCCGCCGACGACCCTGGCGGACCGAAGCGGCGACCCGCGCCAGACGAGGGTCGAGGGTCGAGGATCGACGCTCGAGGCTAGAGGAACCACGTTGAAGGCTTGAGGATCGAGAGTCGACGCGAACCGGCCGTACTCGCGAGGCAGCTGCTCGCAGATCGAAGTGGATACCCTCGTCGCGGGGTGGCCTCGTCCGCCCGCGGATGGTCAAGCTCTGGAGACTTCTGGGAGGAGCAAAGAAGATTACAGTCATCGTGGCACCACGAAGAATTCTGATTCAGGTGCGAAGGCGCTTTTCCGGCCTCGGCGAGCCTCGGCCACGAACAAGTTCCCCGACCTGTGCCTAATCCTGGAACGGCCCGAAGGAGCGCCTCCTGAGCCCAAAAGAGCTCTTACCTCAGCGTGTTGAAGGTAAGATCTGGGCTTTCTGGGCGCAGTCTGGGTGGAGCTCCCTTCGGCCCAGAGTTCCAAGGGCTGACGGTTGACTCTCAAAGCTCCAGGGCTGCAGCACGACCCTCTGTCAGGTCAGGTCGGGCCAGGGAACGGGGTGTGAGGGGGTCGGTGGTGGACGCCCTCTTCTCCCATCCCTCCCGCTCCTCTCTCCTCGTTTCGCTTCCTGGCTTCCTTCCCCCTCCTGCTCCTCCCTCCTCCTCCTCCCTTCTCCGCCTCCTCCTCCTCCTTCCTCGAAGGGTCGCAGGAAGAGCAAAAGGAGAAAGAGGGGCGAGGAACATGAGGAGGAAGAGGAGGAGAGAGGGCAAGAGGAGGGCAGGAAAGGAGACTGGGACGCGAGGGAACGGCGAGGGCGAGGGGAGGCATTGACAACGAGGACGCACATAGCTACCGGCCCTTTTGGCCACAAGGGCGGGCGGCGCAGACCCCCCCTCGGAGGAATTCAACAAAGGTCTGGCTGGAAAAGGTCTGCTTGAGAAAGCTGTGACGTCCAGCGGGAAAGCACCAAAACAAGGCCAGGAACACAAATGAAGCGAAAACCAGAGACCCGAACCAGGAGCAAAGACCACCATGCCCAACGACACCTCCACGGCAGAGAGGCCTCCCGATCGGGGTCCAAGCAGATGGGGTCGGGGGATCGCGACGCATCGTCGATGCATCGCCGATGTAGCGATGCGTCGGCGAGGTCAGCGATGTCTCGGCGAGATCGGCGTTGAGAAAAACGGGCTCCACATCCAGCCACATCGCCGATGCATCGGCGATGCGGCGCGACCCTCCGATCGGACCCCATCTGGGAGGCGTGGACACGGCCAGAGCCCGAGCCAGAGTCCGAGGGCGGGCCTCTCCTCGGTGATCCCCAGAACGTGTGTTGGCGCCAACTTGTGTTTGTCCACCGAAGCCCCTCAGTACGACGCAGGCGGTGTTACGATGGCCGACGTAAGCGGCGTGTCGTCGGCGGAACTGACGGGGCAACACCCTTCTGAGGATCATCGACCTCCGCTGCCGTGTGAGCCCGCGGAGGACTGTTTTGTAGTTTTCGGCCTCCCGGGGTTCTCGCCAGGCCCAGGGACCGTCAAACAGCGACACCCGATAAAAACCTTGACCAGGGGAAATGGTAGGGACTTTTTGGCACCGCGTATTATTGATTCAGGACATATGATGTCTGGGAAGCCTGAGCGGGGTCACTGCTGGACGAACTGCGCACATCACAGCGCGGAACAAAAGTCGGAGGCCGCTGACGAAGGAAAGAGAAGGGCGGCGTACTCAATGCCCCGGCGAAATGACACACAATAAGCCCTGCCAGGATTTGGCCCCTGCCCATGACCTGGCTCCTGCCATCGTCTCGCCAGAGGGGGTTAAAGCACCCGCCTCGAGATGCGGCGCATATTGTTTCTGGGCCTACCTCCACATGGGGGTGCTCACGAAACTCGGCGCGATGCACTCGCAGACCTTGTCCGCTGGAGGCAGCGCACGCATGCCCGTCTGTCGATGTCTCGGTGAACGTCGAAGCAATAATGCGGGAGGGGCATCTGTCATGATGCTCTGAAACTTCGGGGCTCATGTCGCATGGGATCTCCTGGGCCGCGCTGAAGGAGAAGGCCAGAATCTCGATCGCGCACGCCTCTCTGGACAGCCATGGCTCCCGGTAGGGCGCGGTTCTTGAGTATGGCATTCTCGGGGTTCCGGTGAGGAAGGGCAAACGGCTGCGGTTCCAACTACCTGTGTTCCCGCTGCTCCAGGTGCTGCTGGCCCTTCCCCCCATCAGAAATCCGCCCGGCCAGGAAAAGGGGGGGGGCCAGGAAAAGGGGGGGACCAGCTGGCCTTGGCCATGGTATGCGCACATTCTTGGTCCTCGTCCCCTGATTGGGCGCCCCTGAAATTCACGCCGTCCTCAGGAACCCCTGCAACTGTGATTTCAGAGGGTCTAGCCTTCACTTCTGAGCACTCCCAGGGAGCACGCTGCCAAAGAAGCCCGTTCGCTCGCTGCCCCCGCGATGTGCTGCGGAACCAGCCTCGATGTCGGTTGAAATCGCGCGGCCAGGAGTCTTGCTCAACATCTCCCGGGCCAGAGGAGTGCCAGACGGGCCCCCCGAGGCGACCTCGCGGGGCCCCGGGGCCCGTAGAAAACCTAGGCCCTTTGGCCAACGAGTCCACGGGTCAGAACAAATACGCAGCGTCGCCTTTCCCATATTGACGAGATTGCTGCGGGCCGTACTCGGACGGACAGGCCTGCGCGCCGCCAAACACCAGCCGCTCGAACCTGCCCGCGGAAACGGCGATCCACCCTGCCCGAGCGAGCCCGCCCAGGCCCATGGACGTGGCCGACCAATCCAGGAAGAGCAGCCCAGGAGAACCCCCGAGGACGGACGGCGGCGCCACAGGGCGTTCTCGACGGGGCCCTGACAGGCGAACGGTCATCGCGGGCCATGGAAGTTCCTCGGGCCATCCTCTCTGCCATCGCACGGCCGAAATCCGTTGCACTACCCGCGCGCGCTACCAATCTGGCAATCGCGCGGGCCCGACGCGGCGCGTCGTAGGATCGACATTCGCAGCGCCGGTGCAAAATCGTGCCCCGCGCTCCTCGTCGCAGGCGGCAATCTTCTTCAGCGCGCAGCCCGTGGCCGAGCAAACACGCAAGAGGCCAGTGCGCGCCTGAAGCCGGCCCTCGAAGCATATCGCGGTTTTCAGCCTTGAACACCCTCCCAGTACAATTCCAGCAAATAAATGAAACAGGCGGCCCAGCAAGGCCGTTCTGCAAGTGCAGAGCGCGACTGTCGGGCGCCCGCGCCGCTCCCTGACAGACCAAAGCCCAGACTTGCATCGTGGAGAGGCGAAATAAGTAACTTCTTATCCGAGGCCCCTCGCACTGCGCTGGTGATTGCAAGGGTCGCAGCTTGAGCCTTTCAAGGTCCGCAGCGCCGCGTTTGCTGGGGGGGCGGCTGACCTCCGCGGATGCGCAGAATCCATAAACCTGCGCGGTGCTCGACGAGACCTGGGCGAACGGCGCCGCTTCCCAGACGACCGCGGACCGCGTGTAGAGCGCGCGCCCAGCGCGTATAACGATGGCGCCCACCTTGAGCCAGGGTCCCGGGGAGCTCGCGGCCGACGTGCGAGGCCGCGCCATCGTGGCAGGCGCCGTCCCCGAAACGCTCGAACCCGACAGGGCCGACGCAGTGGGCCCCGCGCGATGCGTCGTCCCGATCTCCGCCTGAGCAACCCGCGGCGTCTTCGACGTCTGGCGCGTGGCGAGCGCCCTTGGTTCTCGCCATTCGGGCCCCTCCTAGCGTGGCGTTTGTGCCCAGATTTTTGGCGGCATCCGTCCTGCGCGACTTGGGCAGGCCCCAGAAGTCGGCGAGATGCGCCTCGACCTCTCGAGCGCAAAAGTAAATGCGCTTCTTGTGCCCCCCGAGCAAGTCCATCTGTTCGAACGACTTGAACGCCGAGCCGACGCCGCCAGCAGGCCGGCCGGCGCCCTGGGCGCGCAAGCCGCAACTCTGCAACCTTACATCGCGCGCGTTCACAAGGTGCCTGTTCTCGCGTGCTTCCATGAGGGGCCCTGGCAACAGCAGCATGGCAGGAGTGGTGCCCCCCGGAGCAAGCAGCAGCGATGGCGCCGAAAGCCTCGGTAGTTTTGGGCGCAGCGCCTGCGCGGGGCAGCGCGCGCGAGCCACGGCGCGCAGTGCTGCGCCCGCGCGTGAGTCCCGCTGGGGGCCCAGGGGCCCAGATCTTGTCGCCGCCTCCAAGGCGGCCGCCGGGGGCGTCCCCGGAAGACCCCGCGAGGTCGAGCACGGGGAAGTTGTCGCGTCAGCCAGCCCTGTCGAACCGAGTGTCATGGCACATCTCGCGGGCGTTGGATTTCTCCTCGGCGCGACGCTGCGGCCGACGCAACCGACTCCAGAGCTTTAGACAATGAGCGCAATAGACCGATGGGCCGAGACCCTCCATATGCTCGCCCAGGAAACAACCCCGTTCGCCAGGCGCATCAGAGAGGGCACAGGGCCGACCTCGCATATAATCGATATCTCCAAGACTCCGAGAGGAGCCGGAATTAATGGCTTTCAAACATATGAAGAACCTGCGGCGGATGGGGACCGGGCCCAGCTGGGCCCGCCGCGGGCTATGCAGCTTTCGCACTCTGTCCTGGCCCCCCATCCTCAGCGGGGTAGGGTGAGCTTCGCCTGGCGGGGCAGTCCACGACGAGGGGCGCGGGTCTGGCCAGCCACGGGCAGCGCATCTGGACCGCCAGAGCGGGCGCCGAAACATGAGGCCGATAGCTTCGGAGCCAAGCGGGTCGCCTTTCCCCGCCCGTGACGGACCTCTTCGCCCGCTCCTCTCATTTCACGCGCTGCTCGGCGGCGCCCAACTTCTGGCGGCGAGAACGCTCTGGCCCCAGACTCTCGCGCCCTTCGGGGCCCCAGGCCCCGCCGCTGGCGGCCCCGGCAACTGGCCCTTGAAAGGTGCTCCGCGAAATTACCTACTCAATGGGCGTCGCCATCTTGCAGCGTTCTCGCCTCCAGGAGTCCAGCGCCACCTCCCCCTTGGCCTCGGGTGTCCAAGAGAATGGCTCTAGGTTTGCGAGATGGGCGCTGCGGTTGCAGTCCGGGCGGTCGTCTCCTCTGAGTGGCGTCTAAGAGTGCCCCGCCCAGGCGGGGGTGCGATGGGGGCCCTCCCGGTCTCGGGCCGCGCCAGGCGCCCCGCGCGGCCTCGGGCGTCTTCGACCCCGTGGATTTCCACCGGGCGTCTCTCAGGCTCCAAACGCAGCCCCCTGGGAGGGCGGCCCAGGTCACGCGCTGAAGGTTCGCGCCATCGAGCATCCCTGTCCCCGGGGGGCGGGCCCGTAACAATCGCCCCGAACGGCTTGAAACGCGCCCGCTGGTCCGCGGCCACAGTCTGGCCGAGGCCCCCCATCCGCCGCGGCGCTGGGCCGTGATGGGGGAAGCGGGGCGCCTCAGAGCACCTGGGCTACTCCGACACAGGGTCCTGGCCCATCGCTCTCCCGCCCAGATCATGCGACCCAAGACCTCCGCCTCCCGGCTCACCTTCGCCCCTACCAGTCACGGTCGCGCAAGCCGAGCGGGGGGGCCGATCGGGCGCGGCGACGGCGCCGCGCGCTGGCTGTGCCCAGCTGGAAAAGGACAGCGCCGCCGGCGTAAACTCCCAATCTCCCTAGACAGTCCAAGGCCGCCTGCTGCGCGACAGGCCTGCGCCGAACATGCCGGGGCTGTCCAGACTGTCTACAGGCGTCGAGGTCGCCTCCGAGGTCGTGGACGGGATGCGCGCTGCCAGCCTCAATGCCGTCGCTGAAGCTCGCGTCCAAGACGCGACCAGGGACCCCGCCGTCATACTTATATCCCAGGCAGCACCGTCGCCCGATCACCCAAGTCGCTGGCCGCGATGACGGCGACATCTCCAGAACACTGCAAGGGGGCCGCCCCCGTGCTGAGAGCCTTCCGAAGACACGACATGCGCTCTCTTGGGCCGCTGCTGCGCTGGGAACACCTTGTCGGGGTCTCTCAGCCCAGTCTCCTGGATGGCGAGGGCTTCGAGATTCGAGCGCTGGCCCGAGAGTCCCCGGGGGCCTTCCTCGTCCGTCGCGGCTCTATCGCGGACCGAATTGGCCATGGCGTCGGCGGTGGTCCCGCTGTTCGCGTCGGCCCCCAAGAAATAGCAATCGACGGCCGCTCCGCTACCTGATGCCGCGCAAACGCAAATTTGCCCCTTAGCAAGGCGACGCTGAGCAAGGACGGCGCTCGAAAAGCACGCTGCCTCCCGCCGTCGGGGCGACGGCAAAACGCATGAACCCAGCAACGACTCCGAACTGACGGCGCGCCCCAAGAACCCCCCCGGCCCGCCCCCTGCCCCCGAGCGCATCCGACGTCGGCAAAACGTTGCCTGAATCCGACGCGCTGCGACGCTGAGCGGGGAAGGGCGCTCGAGGGGGGCGCCTGCGCCGGAAGCTCTTGGCGGGCGCCAGAAACCGATGCCAAACGCCCACCGCTGGCGGACCCCGGTCCAGCGGTGGTCACCGAAGTCGACCACGCCACTGGCCCAGACGAAGTCGCAGGAGCCCACGCGGAACACCCATAATACGATCCCGTGGAGCACGTGCTGGCCGAACTCTCTGAATCTGCGACGCCCGCGGCGATCTCCTGGAAACTGCCCCTGGAGGCTTTGTGGTGGCTGAAGCGTCTATGGGAGCTGACCGCGTCACTTCTCCACTGTCACAAGCCCCAAATATGGTAACAGACCCACCCGCGTCGCTTTCAGAGTGAACACCACCAGCGCAAACCGAACGCGTCTCGGGCTCCGCCAAGCCGACGCCCCACTGCCACGCGCCCTGGAAATAGACCCACCCAAGCTGCTGTCAGCGCAAGCACCTCCCAACAACCGCGCACGCTCCATATCCTGGCCGTTCAGCAAAAGTATGAGGTTACCCTCGCCGCGCTTCCTTAGCCGCGTGCTCGGCTAAGAGCTTAACCGCTGCCGCCGACGTGTCGCCCATGGTCCTCTGAAGATTATCGTTGGGCCCTTCTTCCAAGAAGTCCAACTTGACTTGTCCAAGGGCGCCGGCTGGTTGACACCTCCTGCTGCTGCACCTGCTGCGCCTGTCACAACTGCTCCTCCTGCATTTCCTGCAAAGGGCTGGGGCTGCACCGCCAGACTGAGCAGCAGAAGCTGACTTGCGAGCTTCCAGAGATGCCTTCTGCAGGGGTTCCAGAGTCGCGAGTTCCTGCTTCGCCTCAAGGCTGACGAGCACGATGGGCTCGAACGCTACCGAAATTACTTTGACCATGTCACTGACCTCATTGGAGTGCGGCCGACAGAAGAGATGGTCCGCCTCCGCCAGCTCCGCTCGCACGGTTTCCAAGCTGGACTTGGGCTAGGCCTCTTCCTTGTCGAACTCACGACGCTTCCCAACGAGCTTGGCAAACTGGGCGCTGGACCGGTCGACCTTTTTCCGCTGCTTCTTCGCCCTCCAACGCGAGGTGGCCACAGTCGGGGAATTATCTTGCACTTCTCGCTGCTGGGCCTCTGCCGCAGGCGTGAGCAGCTCTTCTCCAAGGCCCTTCTCCTTGAGAAAAAGGAGGACCGCCTTGTAGGACAAACTCACTTCTCCTGCCGACTGCTGTTGCGGTTTGGGAGGACGGGTCTGCTCTGTCAGCAAGTCGATATGCTCCTGCATGGCGGCAATCTTCTTCGACTGGTCTCCGTGGGCTGCTGAAGTGGCAACTCCTCGCCCGAACTTGCCGCCGCTGCCGAACTATTTAGACTTAAAGCGGGTCGCGGCCTCCCTCGCCGCCTGAACCACACGCTGCGCGGCGTTGCTTTCGCACTCTCTGCGCTTGATCTTGATGGCTCAATTGTCACGGGCCCCGCACTTTCGGCAACCCCAGGAAGACTGATAAGGCCCTGGGAGCACATCGGGCGGCCCCATCCACTCAGGCAGGGGGCGGGAAAATCGATGATGGTTGGCTCGCGCCCACACGCCACTCCGACGTATGCGGACACAAATACGAGCTTTGCGCAAGTAGCGCACGCCGACACGGTGAGGAGGAAGCAGGATGAATGAGGAGGGAGGGGAAGGACAAATGGAGGGAGGAGGGAGGCAAGAGGAACGGAAATAACAATCGGAACCCGCAGGCCTGCCAACGCTGGCGGGCGTGGCGGTACAGCCGGCGGCACGGCGCCAGCGGACGTCTGCGCTGGTACCGTGGCGCCGCCAGCGCCCTGAGAGGGAAGCCCAGGCTTTCTTGGATGACCCAGACATGCTCGCGTCGAGTAAAAATCACGACGGAATGGATTGGTCGTTTTCGGCCTTCGGGGGCCCCTCGTCGGGCCCTGGGACCGTCAAAAACGACTCGGGGTGGAAAACCGGCCCTGGGGAACAGGTCGGGACTTGCGGGGACCCTGTATTGAAAAATCAAGAGGTCGCATGTCTGGGTTTTATGCTGTGCTGTGCTGCTGATTTGGCTCTTTCCCCCCCCCACTCGGGGTTGCTCCAGAGACCTCCATGCGGACCTCGAGGAGGCCTAAAAGAACTTCTGGTCCAGAGCTTCGCCGTTCTCGTCGTCTGGGGGCTATTTCCAGCAATCCCTGGGACCATCGGAATACTCGTCAGGATGAGGAGCTGGTCACCGGGAAGGGGTCGAGACGTCTAGAGGCTGGAGGCTGGAACAAACATGTGTAGTCGAAGGTCTGGGAGAGGGGGGGGGGGTCTTCACGCGCAGAGCAGAGGCCCTCTGCAGCTCGACCCGCGGCCGAGCGCTTGCACATCGAAGCCGCGCTCCCGCAGCATTTCATTCGCTGCTGTTTTGCAGAGGAAAGTGCTCCTCCTCCTCCTCCTCCTCCTCTTCCTCTTCCTCCTCCTGCTCCTCTTCCTCCTTCCCTCCTCCCCCTCTTCCTCTCCCTTCTCCATCCCCTTTCCTGATAGACATCTCCTCATCGTTTTACCGCCAAACGTGTCGGGCGGACCGCCTGAGACGTCCTCCCCGATCATGACCCCGAGACTTGAAACTTCCAACAATCGCACGGGCACGCTCGTCTTACCCCCCGCGCGAGCAAACATGGATGGGGGTCGTTCTCAAAATGTGGCTCTTGCCTAAGTGTCGCGCAATTTCGTCTTAGAACCTTCCAGCAGTTATACGGATGAAAGGGGCGCGATGTTCAAAATGTGGTTTCCGCCTTGGCGCCGCGCACATTTGTTTTCAACGCTGGCAATTATTATCATGCGGATTGATGGGGGTTTCTTTTCAACATGTGGCTCTTGTCTTAGCGCCGCGTACATTCGTCTCCAACGCTCCCCACTATTACTGATGGAGGGGGGTTGTTTTCAAAATGTGGATCCCGTCTTCGCGCCGCGAAAATCTGTCGTAACATCTCAACTGGTGCTTGCATTCAGGGGTTGTTACCTGTGTTATGATGAACTGGGCCTGCCTGGCGTTCCGGCGTCAAACCGCCGTCGCCGCCCCGTGATCGCCTCGTCGCCGCCGTCGCCGTCCCGACTCCTCGTCGCCGCCCGTCATCTGGGCCTGTCTGGCGCTCTAGCCGCCATGTCGCCGCCGTCGCCGCACCGCCGCCGCCTCGTATTGTTCCCCAATCAGAGCTTGCCTCTGTAGGGGTCCTAGCGGATTCATATGGTTAGGTTAGGTTTGCCGCCGATTTTCGCGGCACGCCCAGGTGCCCGGGTGCCAGGGGGTGCCCGGGTGCCTGGGTGCCCGGGTACCCGGGCGTGCCAGGGGGTGCCCGGGTGCCCGCCCGGTAGCCCTATAGCCTTATAACCCTAGAGCCTTATAGCCTTATAGCCCTATAGCCCTCTAGCCCCAATAGCTTTATAACCCTATAGCCCTAATAGCTCCATAGCTTTATACCCTTATAGCCCTATAGCCATATAGCCCTATAGCCCTCCAGCCGTATAGCCCTATAGCCCTCTAGCTCTCTAGCCCTCAAGCCCTACATCCCTAGAGCCTCATAGCCCTATAGCCCTTTAGCCCCATAGCCCTACATCATTAAAACAGATTATGATTGGGTTTTTTTCTCAGGTATCATTTTGCATTGGATTGCTTCGTGTTGCTGTGCGTTGCTTTGACTTGCATTGCGTTGTTTCGTGTTGTTTTGCGTTGTTCTGCATTGCTTTGCAACGCTTTGCGTTAATTTTCATTGGTTTGCACCTCTTCGCCTTGCATTGCATTGATTTGCGCCGCTTTGCACTGGTCTGCATCGATTCCCCAAACAATGCTTGCACTTAAAGATTCTTAAATTTCTTCTACGGAACTGGGTTCGGTAGTCGGGTCCGCCGACTTATTGGCGCCGTCGCCACCCAGTCGCTCGTCCGTCGCCGCCCGTCGTCTGGGTTCGTTCATTGGATCCGCCGCCTTGTTGCCGCCATCGCTGACCCGTCGCCGCCTCGCTGCCGTCCGTCGTCTGGGCTAGATTTTTGGGTCCGCCACTTTTTTGCCGCCGTCGCCGCCCAATGGGTTTTCTTTTCTAAGCAGCTAGTAGGATCTACCTCCCCTGCCCCGGATTTAACTGATAGCGTTTTTGTATTCATATGGTCCTGCCCCGTCGTCCACCCGAAATGTGAACGCATACCATCCCAGGCAGTCCCTGATGGCCCCCCGTCGCCCTCTCGAAAAAACCTGTCGTCTATCAAAATTCAGCCGTTTTCAACAATCCCTTGAAACAGATCGGACGAAATGCACACGCGCGCGCGGTCGCGCGCGCATGCCGAAATCCTTCAAAACGATCGGTTCTGCAACTGTCTCAAAATCGAATGTCCTGACAATATTTCTCTAAAAAGCAATGTTTTCTCAACCAGAACCTTCGAAACCAAAAAAACTGCGCCCCACAGGCGGAACAAAATGCACACGCGCGCGTCTTCGCGCGCACGTGGCGGAATCCTTCAAAAACCGGATATTTCGCTTGTATTTCAGAATCGCGCGTTCCGAAAACATCAAACAAAGCACATAGTTGTGCAACATCGGTTTTCAAAAACAATGTGCTTTCGCGCCCTGGCAAAGTTGGAGGAAAACCAAAATTGTTTCGCATTTTTAATTAAAACACATATACATCATATGTTGATAAACGTCCCTCCCGCGTGCGCATGTCGGAATTATTGGAACGCCCTTGCGCGCCATGCGGGCCACTCGCGCGCGTCGGCCGCGCGCACATGTCGAACTCCTTCCAATGCCTTCGTCACCGGCGCGAGGACACCGTCATCGTCATCGGCGTGATCAGCATCGGCGCCGTCATTTGCCGTGCCGTCAACATCGCCACCATCGCCACCAACGTCGCCACAAGCATCATCGTGTCCACCGTTGTCGACGTCGCCATGATACCGCGCCCGCCCAACTCACCGAGTCGCAATGAAACGCCCGCTGGGAAGTGCCCAACGGTCGACGTCACCACGGCCGCGTCGGTCGCGCCAAACTAGCTCGCCGCTGTGCGCGCGAACGTGCGCGGGCTAGCGCGGCCGCAGACATGCACCAGCCAACGCCGAGCACTCATCGCACTCGCCGCCGCATGTGTTTTGCAAGGCCAGTTGCGGGTGGGTGTGTGGGATGATTGCGCGACCATTGGCGTCGCCGGGCCCAAGCTGTCAGACATTAGTTGCGCCACGTAGATTCTCCTTTGTAACATGGAATTCGGATCTACCTCTCCGCCCCCAAGCCAGACTGAACGGCCTGCCTTTTCGCATTGTTTGTGGCGTGTGGTATTGCGCACTTGTCCATGCAAAATATGAATTCACACCGTCACAGGAAATCCCTTAACGACCACCCTCATCCTCTGCATCAGCCACTATGCGCGCGCACGCGTTTATCACAAATCATCAGTGTTCAAAGACCCCTTTTGCGAAACAATGGAACGAACTGCGCGCGCGCGTCGTCGCGCGCGCATGCCAGATGCCCTCAAAACTTGAAGCGTCGTAAGTACTCAGAAGCCGAGCGCCCCCAAAACAATGAAACATACATGGCCGTGCAACATCAAATGTCAGAAAAGTGCGCCGGCGATCTTGCAATTCGGAAGAAACGTATGCGCTTCTTAACTATATATGTATATATACACATAAGGCTCATCACATGCTACCAAACATGCCTCTCGCGTGCGCGTGTCGGAATCAAGCGAACGCCAGTGCGCGCGTGCTGTCGCAAAAACCCTTTGCAAACAATGGGGTGGAGTGCGCGCGATCGCGTCGCCGCGCGCGCATGCCACAATCCTGCGAAATACCAAGGGTTTCGCAATACTTTCAAAACCGAATGTCCCGAACACATAGAAAACACTTTTTTTGCAACGTCAATTTTCAAAAACATGTCAGCGCTCGCGTTCTCGCGAAAAAAAAGCCATCCGTTTTGGGAATTTCATCGAGTGCTACAAACGTGCCTCTCGCGCGCGTGTCGACATGATTCGAAAGCCCTTGTGCGCGTGCTGGGGGGGTACAAACCCTGACGCATAACACCACGCGGGCCATTCGCGCGCGTCGGCCGCGACCGCGAATCGAACTCCTTCCCAAACTTTCGTTACCGACGCGAAGACACCGTCATCGCCATCGGCGTGATCAGCATCGGTGAAGTTATGAGCCTTGCGGTCGTCATCGTCGTCAACATCATCGCTCCTGCCTCCATCGTGTCTACCGTTGCCGACTTCGCCATGGTACCGCGCCCACCCAACTCACCGACTCGTAATGAAGCGCCTGCTGGGGAGTGTCCACCGGTCAGCGTGACCACGGCCGCGTCGATCGCGCCAAACTGGCTCGCCGCTGTGCGCGCCAGCGTGCGCGGGCTAGCCCGGCCGCAGAAACGCACCAGCGAACGCCAAGCACTCATGAAAATCGCCGTCGCATGGGCGTTTTGCAAACCAAGTTGCCGGTGGGTGGGTGGGTTTGCGCGAGCAATACCGTTGACGACTCCAAGTTTTCCAAAATTAATTGCGCCACGTCGAATCTCTTTCCTACAGGAGAATTAGGTTCAACCGCCCCCCTGGCGCCGGGATCCCCCCCGCCCCTCTCGGGGTGTGCAATGTGCATCTGATACTGCGCCATCTTTCATGCTAGAAATGAGTTCCTACCATGCCAGCCAGACCAGGTTCGACCCCTCCCCACCATCCATTTTCACAATTCACAACAAGTCATGCATTTCCAAGATCCCCTTGCAAGGAATGGGACGAAGTCCACACGCGCGCGTCGCCGCGTGCGCATGCCGAAATCCTTCAATAACCTAAGGCTTCGTACGGCT